GCAGATGGAACACATGTATTGAGGTGTTGTGTAGTCCATCTTGGGTAGGACAAAAAAGCAAAATTTTAGAAACTTTATTTGAAGCAGTAAGGGATAGCTTACTGAACAGTTCATATGCTGTGTTATGGGTGAGTTAGTTCACAAAAAATACACCAGCTGGTGCATCCTCAGTCTTTAACAGTTGCTAGATGACTTACTAGATTTATTTTTTTTTTAAATAAATTGCAGGAGTGAAAGAGGGAAAAATTTAAAAAGTCTTTAACAATCTGGGGCTTAGATCTGTTAATGTTGTTTGCTTGTTAGAGCCAGAGAGCAATGTTTGTGTGTCTCTTGACAGCTCTTTTGGGGGTAGAAGTTGAAAATGATTGTAGCTACTGCACTAGGTCTCCTTTCTACACCGTTGTCTTGGAGTCTTAAACATTTCATTGTACCCAGAATCTCCTGGGAAGGAGTGAAGTGTCTTCCTGAAGCACTAAGGGACAGAAATGGCCTGGGGGCCTGGCAGCTGTCAGATGCTTTGTAGCACCACTGATGCTTTCAGGAGGTTGCTGGATGCCGTTGCACATTATAATCTGAGGCAAACACAAGTCTACCCAACTGCTTAGAGCTCACAAGAGAAAAGCTGACGGGTACTGTCCTTTCCCTACGAGAAGGCAGGGAGGCTTCTAACATGTACCAAAAAGAGAGGTTTGGTCTCAGGGCAATTGGAGGACTGTGGGACTTCTTGGAACAGGAAGAAACCTGTCTTTATCCTGTACTACTCATTCTCCTTTGTTTTACGTATAATTTTTATTATCAATCATAGTAGCTTCACCTTGCTGGCCTGTGCAAGGTGGCCACCGATGGAGTCTCTTGGCTGGTGACAGAAGTGCAGGGCAATGGCTGGCCACTGGGGGGAGTAAGGAGACTTTCAAATACCAGGGGAACATTCGGTATTGGTAGCTGTGCTCCTGGTGCTCTCCCTGGAAATACCTGGTCAGCACTTGGAAACACGAGTCTGACCCTATGAATTCACAGTGGAAATGATTCTATGTGAACCGCTACAGAGGGTCATTTAATTTCGGCAATAACTTCATGCTAACAGATATTTTGGCCTTTGTGAGCACAACCCCAATTACAAGGCTTTATAGCTGCAAATAACAGCTAAATAACCCTGCTTTAACCAGAACATACAATTTGATATTGTGATTTGTACTTAGGCACGCTCTTTTTCAAATATTCTATTCCCAGCCTGTCCTTAAAACTTTTAGATCGATGTCTCTGAGGGCAGCATGTGTGTTGGAAGAAGAAAGAAGTAAGGCATTGGTGTGTTTGCTGAGGTGACTGCAGCTAGGTGTCCAGCTAGGCTTATCTAGCAGACTTATGCACATACCTCATTCACAATCTGGTAAGAGTGCTGTTGAAATCAAGTGTTCATACTATGTAAAATTAAACCACTAAAGTCCCTTAGCAACTAGAAAATTTCAAAGGAAGATCCTTTCTTGTTGAAACACTTCCCCAAAATTTGTAAGGGATTTTTTGTGCTGCTGTTTAACTTTTTATAATAGAAAAAAGATTCGAGAAAATGGCAGTAAAAACATCAAGTATCTTGCTTCTGTGCCATACCTAATTAAGCTAGCCAGAGAAAACTCCATTATTTTTTTAAGTAATATTTTTAAGTTTTCAGGCAGGGCAAGAGTATTAATAAGCTAGTTCTTGCTCCCTGTTACCTGTTCTTTATGACACTTAAAAAGAATATCCAACTAATGAAGCACATCTGTTATGTTGCTAATCAGAGCTACAGTAGTCAATGGAAAACAGGATTTAATTCAAAACACAGTAAGAATATTAGAAGCCAAATATTCAAGGAGGGTTAGATTGTGTATATTATAAACAGAAATTGTGCTATGAAGCTATTTTGAGAGGCTTGGTCCCAAGATTTACTATATGCTGGAACACAACCAGAATTGTAGAAGAGCTCATCAGCCTTGGGGAATGCTGTTTCTGACACTAGATTACAATTTGATATGTAAGTGGAAGTGACATTGATGGAAAAGCAGCTGATTGTAAAGAAATCCTGCAAATGACAGCCGTGGCCTGTGGTATTCAATGAAATGTTTCCTCTTGAACTATTTATTCTTTAACAGGCAAATATGGTATTACCACCACTAGTCGTATTCAAGTTCAGAAAACTAGATTTGCAGCATGTGAAATATTTATTACACATAGAGCATGAGTCAAATGCCAAGCATCTCTGATTAAACAATTATTTTGATGTACCAGGAAGGAAAAATAGCCACTGGTACTAGCAGACACATTCTACCTAGAACTGGAGAAGCAGAGGTCAGCAAGGAGTAATGCCAGCTACATCCACTGGCAATAAAAATTGGCCTCCTCTTTGATTTAGCCTTACAAACTGTATCTTGCCAGTGCAGTTGCTCAGCAAGTGTGCAGCACATGTTCGGTTCAGTGTCCTGGCTTTAGCACACTTGGGGCACACCTAGCTTTCAGATCCTGGACTTTTATTGACATCATCTCACATCCCAATTCTCCTGTGTTCAGTGCTGTCAAATCACCTCCCAGCTGTCAGATCTTTGCTCAAAATATTCAGCTGTCTACAATGACAGCTTCTACAGCCTCTTTAGCTCTCCTATCAGCTTGATTCCAGTGCTCTCTGGCACTCAAGCTGTCTGTGCCAGTTCTGAAACTTCAGTTCTGACTCCCCAAACCATAGTGTCTATACCTGGAAGTCCCCCTCCCCACCCTTCACCCCTTACAAGTTAATGCAAGAATGACACAGATTTTAATGCTGGCAGTTTTGGTCTAGATCTATGTTGCCACTTACTTGCATATCTAGACCAAGGTTCTTCTTTGTCCAGCAGAAGATATAGGAGAGCCTGTGGAGATTACCTGGATTCCATGAGACAGAGTGTGATGCCTCTGAGGAGTGGGAATTCCTCCTCTGGTCACGGCGAACAGGAATAGGTCTGTTTCTTTTTTTTATTTATTTTTCCACAATACTTAGTATGACTCCACGTCCCTGTCTGGGTCTGTACAGCTGCCCACCTGCACACAGAGAGGTGAGTGAGAGGGTGCAAGGATGCACTCTGAGGCAATCTCAGCAAACAAAGTGGGACAATGACACAGATGTGCTCTGAGTCTTTGAAGGGGTTGAATCCCACTTCAGAGCAGTTAGACTAACAGTAGCTGACTCCACATAGGTGTGCTTTCCACAGCCCTGAGGGGTACCGGCTCACAGATTTTTGAATACTTTGAATAGGTGCCCCTGAGAAGTGTGCAAAGCTCAATTCCCACATAACCTGAAGATGAGTTCAAGGGTCCCAAGATAAAAGCTAAAACCCCCCACATCTTAAGAATCCTGCTTCAACTAGACAATTTCAGAGAAGTTTGGTGATCAAATATTTTGCTTCCCTTTTCTCTTTTAGATCTCCTCACATCTCTTCATCAGTTCTTTGCTTCACAAGGACCATATCTGATCTCTGCGCTTCTTTTTTTTTTTCCAGTCTGGAAAGATCCTTTTGTACAACCATAAGGGAACAGGAGAACTCTTCTGTATTTGTCGTAAAACTAAAGGAAGGTCAAGGTGGCAGGGGCTCTGGTGTCAGAGGGTGGATATGTGGGGACCTGTATTGCTAGTGCCACCGTGTCATTGACTGACACCTGACTTACAGCCTACAGGGCTATCAAGTCAGCTTCTCTCCAACCCTGAACTGGCACATAAAAGAATGAGAGACTTGTGCTTAAAGAGACAAAACTTCCTGAAGAGAACAATCCTATTGTTTCCTAGAAAAGAGATGAATTTGACTAGCTTGCTCTAATCATGGGATTTTCAGAGTTCTAAGGGACGTATGAACCTCTCTTACGGCAAGAAGCAAATTAATGGATATTGTCTCAATTCAAAACCTGCTGCACTTTCACAGTCATTTTAGATGGACAGCTTTATCAATCACCTGCAGAACATCACTCAGTGAGGGACGGTCACCTGAGCTCAGCAACCAGTGGGAAAGAAATGCCGGCGGAGGCAGTAAGTACCTGAGCCTGACTCAGCCAGTGCTCCTTCCTCCCCAAGATGCTGCCCATCATTCCTGGTCTGAGGCACAGTGCAGGAACCAGAACCATTCCTGGTTTTCCCTCTGACTGATCACAGCTGCGGGCTTAAAAAGCAGACAAAAAAAAACAAACAACAAACTCGTAAAGAAAAGGAACAAAGCAGAGAGATCAAATTAAAACCCAGCCATAGAACACACCAGTTGCAGAAGGCTTTAATGAGGAACACTGCAAAGGCAGGGACATCCCTTTCTTACCAGCTTGTCTCATGACAGCGTGGGTGAGTCTGTTGTAAGCCAAAGGCAGCCACGAGGAGTGGCTCTGCCTGGTCACTTGAACAAAATGGAGCAGGGGAGGCTCTGTGTGTCCCCCTTTTCTTTAATTGCCCCTTAACTCTCCACACCCTGCTGTCCTCCCCCTACCCTGGACCTCCTCAGGCCAACAGCAATGGCTATTTCTCAGGAGAAATTGTAGTGCGACTGGTGTTTTATTTATTTGGGGTGTCGGGGAGGACTGAGGTGTGGAGGAGTGAAGGGGCTGCAGGTGGGTCTGTGACAGCGGGGAAGGGATCCCAGGAGACGCCAGGCCTGTTGTCCCACAGCTGGTGGAGGGGAGTGTGCTCTCCTCTCCTCCATCCTGCCTCCCTCGCTCCCCCTGCCCCATTCCCTCCTCCATGTGGCGATTTTCCTTCTCAGGGAAGCTCTCCTTCGCTGCCGCCCCCAAACCGTCCCTGTCCCCCATCGCGTTTACCTTCGCCCTCACACCTCTTCCCGCCCTTGGGCCGCCCCGCTCCCCTCACGCCGCTCTTCCCGCCCGGCCCCGGCGCCGCCTCTCCCCTCACGCGGCGCCCCCTGGCGGCGGCCCCGCCCCTGCCGCGCGCGGCGTCCCACCGCCCCCTCCCTCTCCCTCCCCATCCTCCGGCTCTGCTCTATTGTTCTCCCTTCCCTCGCTCCTTCCCTCCGCCCGGGGCTCGCGTCCTCCCTCCGCTCTCCTCTATCCATCCCTCCATCCCTCCCTCCCTCTCTCCTCCTTCTCGCCGTCCCTCCCGCCCCGCTCCCCGGAGCTGATGTCACGCACCCGCTGAAGGCGCGGGCGATCATGGCTGCTGCGGCCGCGGCCGTGCCGCCGGCCTCCAGCTAATGCCCGCGATGGAGCCGGCGAGCCTGCTGCGGTTCCTGCGGAAGCTCAAGGAGGTTTTCGATGTGTGCGACGAGGATGCGGACGGCTTCATCCGTGTGGAGCACTTCGTCGCCCTGGGGCTGCAGTTCGGCCAAGGGGATGAGGTGAGTGGGGCGACCCCCGGTCCCAACGGGCGCCCGCACCCGGCCCGGCCCGACCCGACCCGGCCCACTCCCCTGGCTGCCGCGCAACTTTCACCTGCTGCTCCCGCTATGCGGGGAGCGGGGCCGTGACTCTGGCTGGCCGGACCCCGCCAGGACCACCCAGACACCCCCCGTCACCCATCTTTCCTCATCGCGGCCCGGGTTTCCCCCCGTCCCTCGGGGAGCCACGACTCCTCCCCTTAGGGCGGCCCGGACCCTCTCCCCTCCGGGTGCCTCGGACTCCCCCCATCCCTCAGGGGGTCCCGGAGCCTTCCCCCGTGGCGTCCTGGAGCCCCCTTCCCTCAGGGCCACCCTGTCGCCCTCCCCCTTTCCTGCAGAGTCCCCCCCCAAGATGCCCCCTTCCCTCAGGGGGTCCCGGAGCCTCCCCGTTCCCCCAGGGCAGCCCAAACCACCCGGGCTGAGGGACCGGTCCCAGGAGTGGCTGTGTCGTTCGGGGAGATGCGTTTATTTTGGTGACAACAGGGGTTTTCTCTGTCCTGGCTGAGCCGTGTCCTCACCAGGGGTACCAGCTGCTGCGGGGGTACCAGGAGCAGAGCCCCGGGGTGAGGGAGCTGCCGGCCTGGCTGCCCCGTGAAGCGTCTGGGCAGTCAGGGAAGCACCAGCCCAGGTGCCCCCTAAAACCTCCCGGTGATGGGCTGGGAGTGAAGACTTTCCATCCAGCCCTTCAGTGACACAGCGTAAATCTGGAGTCACGCCACTGGTCTCGCTGGAGCAGCTGCGTCAGTGGGACCACTGTAAACCTGTGACATCCCTGCAAACGGGATTCAGGCCAGTCGCTGTGTGGGTAATGACATGCGTTTGGTTTGAAACAGTTCCCTTAAGTGATTCAGTCAAAGGCTGCAGCTCCAAGGAAATTAACCAGCAAGAAACACTTGCTTTCTCTAGGAGAACTCTCAAGATATTGCTCTTAACTGTTTGATGCTTCACAATACGCCCCAGCAATTTTGGGTGCCGGCGAGGGGGAGTGGAGTTGTGACTAGGATAGGATGCAGAAAACCAGTATCAGTTGACCTTTTTAAAGTACGACAAAACAAATTAACGTGAGGGGCGAATAAAACGTTAGTTTATAAAGGGATGCCAGAGGCAGCAAAACCAGAGCGAATTCACACTAATTCTTGGAGCAAATTACTTATTTTTGGCTTACCGCTGGTAATGAAACACAGCTTGTGAATGAAATCAGAATACCAGGAGACAGAAGGCTTATTGCTTGCAGATAGTCACAGGTCTGTTAAACATTTTCTTAATGAGAAGATGGAATTTCTTGTTTTAACCAGCATATTAAAGAGGAGAAATAAGTAACTGTAGAGAGCTTTATTGATTTGTGGTTTTATTTCTCTCTTGGTAAGTTGTATAGTTTTATGTAAACTAATAGAAGTATTTTTTGAGTCCTTACTGCCAGATGCACTGCATCAGAATTGCTTTTTGCGCTACTGCATTTATTTGGATCAGTGGCTTTCTCTTGCAGCACTGGAGAAGACTGGTCAGATTCCACTGGCTGTTTTGCAGCAGAATGTCAGTGATGATCATAACAGTCCTTTTTGGTCTTAGAAATTTCTAAGGATGTGAGAGAAGAGCAGGTTCTGAAAGATGCAAAGGAGAATTCAGGTAGTGATCTCCTAATCTTAGAGTGAATTGGAGTATATTAGTTGGAAAATATTTAAGTGAAATGGAAAGGAAGAGAAAACTGGAAATCTCAACAATGACGTCAGTAGAAAAGTACCACTTGTCAGTGGTAATATGTAGGTTTCAGGATGAGCAGGAACAGGAGGGACTACCAGTGATGAGAAATACATCCTTTTTATTTTGTTCAGTTGTAACTAGCAATGTTTGATAAGATACTTGCAAAACTGTGACAGAGAAATCTTATCTATATATCTATCAGGTTTATAATACAACTTGTTCTGGTTTGAAGTTAAGGGACCGCTAGCCAATAACTACAACAGGCACAGGGAAGCAAAGGAGTATGTGTCAGCTGAGTAAATGGGTTTTGTAAATCACCAGAAGAGGCTTGCTAGGGAAATACAGATTCAATTTTCCAAGTGCAGATTTACTGTAGAACAACCACTGTAGGTGAGCTAGTCTGGTTTTAAGTCTTGTTAAAAATGAACTTTATGTGTGATGAGTCACAGTTGATGTTTGGAGACAGTGAAATTCTATTCTCCCGTACAGCACAGTGCTTTCTACCTCGCTTCTGCAGGAACCTAGTAAGGTGTGTGCGGGAATGCATCTCATGAAATTAAACTGAAGAGACAATGCAGTTCCCTTTAACACATGAGAATATATTTACTGTCATTGAAAACTAATGATATATTTGAATGTGCTACCCTGCTTGGGCCTGATCCACCTCAGCTCCCTTTACATTCAGAAGAAATCTTTGCATTAGCATCACTGAAAGACTGATTTGCACTCGGGTTAAACTTGTTTGGTCCTGCTGTTTACACAATTCATCTGGCCACAGGAAGGATCCGTTTTTGTAGCATTGTGGCCTTAATTCTGTCTCTTACCGACAGTAGCCCCAGGTGATGTTTATGAAATGTGAGCATGTCTGTCCCTTCAGTTGTGCCAACCTGATACGCACAGCTTTCCACCTCTTCTCTACCTCCTCGGAGCCACTGCCATCCAAAGTTTGGAGTTTATAAATTCTTAATATTAATTTCTGTAGGGCTTCTGACTTGGACTGTGTAGGGCATTTAGCCTATTCTGGTTTTTCAGGTTTTTTTTTCCCGTTTCCTTTTTTTATCTTCTTTGTGTGTGTGCGTAGTCAACATACTGAAATTTATCATTCCTGATAAACTCTTTGAAAACTGCCCCACAGCAAAATATTGCAGCAAGGCAGCAGCTTTGCATTCAAGCAAAGCAGTCCTTATCTGCACAGTCAAAATAATAAACTTTTAACATTTCTGATTAACTCTTTTTACTGTTTTACTTTTAGTGGGCTTTTGAGGCCTCTGCTTCTCATAGCTTGATGCTTTGCTTTTCTTAAGACCACACCATTGCTACTGTACCTCATTCTATTCTCCCTTTCCCATGTGCACCGAAATCCTCTTCTTGCCACACAGTCGTTGAGAGTCCACTGCAGCAGAACAGCGATTGCCTCGGAGCAGCTGTTTAGGAAAGGTGTTCTGGCAGCGGAAGCACTTCTAGCAGGTTTGCTTGCAAACTTTTGCTTTGCCCTACAAGGCATGTGGTTCAACTAGAGGAAGAAATCACTTGACCAGTTTGGCAGAGCTAGGAGCAGAGTCACGGCAGGAATTGAGAGCAGGCTGGCTGTCAAGCACTGCTTGCCCATACAAATAGTTGTGGAATTTATGCTTTTAAGCAGTTTGGCATTTTGACCTCTGTTTGTCCCATCTGACTGTAGGCATTTAACTGAGTTGTCTAATCTTTCTCCATGGTCACCGATGAGCAATTGAATGTTCAGAAAGTGTAACCAGGACCCAAGGATGAAATAAACCCATCATAGGTACTTCTTTATTTCCACTGACAACAGAAACTCCTTGCTGAGACTTTTTGGTTCAGTGCTTAAAAATAGCAGGCTTGGGCCTTGCTTTCCTGTTGAATGGTCTGTTTGCCATTTGTGGAGAAATCTGAAGAAAGACATGAGGGCTGTTTCCAAAGCGACTTCACTGGATGGCGTGTACTCACTAGCTGAAGAAACACTTCACATAACATTGAAAAATGCCAAGAGTCGCTTGCCATCTGGTTCCCTCTCACTGGGAAGATAGTTGCACTAGCAGCCGAGTGTCTGGGATCATTGTGAGTGACGTGTTCAGCAAGTCCCAGTTCTGGCAGTGGATTGTGTGAATGTGTATTTCAGAATAGTGCCAGTTGATGTTCCGTTATGCCAGATTCTATTTAAATGCTACATTCAGTTTTCAGCAACAAGTGGAACGCGCTGAACCCATTGACTTCTTTTTGAGATACGTTATCGCGTTTCGGAGGTGTACAAACCATACAGGTGCTTAGATCTTTGTCATGGTAAGATCAGCAGATGATCATCAACTTGAAGCAGTGTCACATGTGGGAGAGAACTCGAGCAGCTAATAAAATCTATAGGCGAATATCAATTATTATTGTGAGTGGACAGTAATTAACTGGAAGTCAATGTTTCACTAGTGGTATAGAACAGAAGTAGCTGAAAACAAGTTCGCGTATTTCACGTGAACAAATGAAACCTTCTGGCCAAAAGAAACTATTGAAATAGGGAGTTGTTTGTTGCTAATTTTAGTCACTTCCATTCATCCCCATTCTGGGCTGAAATGAAAGGCATCAACCTCAGGTGCTACCCAGGTAGTATATTGTGGCTGCTGGCTGAGTTCAGTGACAGTCCTGATGCTCCGTTTTGACTTGCTCTCAGATGTCTCCCAGGGACATCTGATGGAGTCATGCTCTAAACGTAGCCCTTCTATTGTAACCACTCCATAACTAGTTTGTCCTGGAAAGAGCAGGAGTGTAATTTCACTGCATGGCAACATGGAGTCTTTCTGAATGGTCTAGGTGAATTTCAGGCTCCTAGCCATAGTGTTGCACGCAGAAATTAGTGGAATCACGGCAAATTTACATCAATGTACATGATGACAAAGACTAGTTCATATCTTCTAGATAATGTGCAGAATGCTCTGGATTTACCTGCAGCCATGAGAAAAAGAGACTTTGGCATTGAGACATTAAAAGAAAAGTATTAGGGTGTTACCAAGCGATATTGCCATTCTCGTAATGGAGGCAGAAAAGAGTTACAATGTCTTTCTTCTCTGCTTTTCCTGGAAATAATTGCTGAAAGAATAAATAAAATATTTGCCTAGATGTAACAAGGAGGAGAAGAGTACTCCTATGTATGTGAGAGTGTTCTCTAGGTAGCAGCAAGGCTGTCACACATTAAGAGTCCTTAAAACTGTATTTGCTAATGACCCAGATATTTCATATCATTTACAGTGACTTGG